GTTTTTTTTTTAATGTGTAGGTTGTCTTTATCCTATGTTTAAACAAAGTATTATGGAAACAATTAGTATGTATATTATCTTGCCACTTCCATTGTTGTATATATCTCAAAAAAGTTAATGTTGTCATTTATCTTTTAGCATGTTTTAAAATTACACATGCCTTGTCATTTGGATCATATATCACTTGAGGTATTTTTAGAAGATGAACAACCAAACAATAACACTTAATATTTCTTCATGAATCTGCATGCCAAAAAGCCTTTAAGTAGCCTTTAAAGCTCTAATGTATCTTGCATCTAAGTATTGTTTGATCTCATCTTATTGATTTCCAAATTGCATTATAGTGCAATTATAGCTCTTCTAGATGTACTTGTAGATATGCTTGGTCATACAAATAGATATACATACCTCAATATTTATATTACAATTATACTTCTAAGATAATTTGCAAAAAATGAAGCAACATTTGTATTGTGAATAATTATTCTTCAAACTTCAAATATTCTTTTATTATTTATTTTTGTCGACATTAGAGATATCCATGTGCATCCATTATTATTTTTTTCACAAACACCTTTAAATATTTTTTTGTATAATAACCATCTTCTATGTAAGGCACTTGAAGATTCTTTGTTCTACATAGACCATTTACCATGCATTGTAGAACAACTTCAAACAACTTGTGGTCCTTGTCTTTATCCAAAAATTCTACAAAAATCATATAATCAACATCTGCATTGCATTTAATCTTGCTTTTTATATCCAAAAAAATCAAGATGTGCATATGAATTAGACCTTTCTTTTAAAACTCTATGGTATAAACATGTGCAACAACATAATCAAAGACAACTCCCTTCTTTATATCTTCCATAATTACAAGTCTTTTCAACTCAAATACACATGCAATCAAATTGACCAAATTTTATTTATAGAAGATAGAAGCATTCAAATAAATTATAGAAAATAATGAATTTGATTGTAAGTATTGTAATTAAGGCCAAAAGATAAAAGAAATGACATAAATGTAATGTGGATTTGATGATAGTATTTATATTTTAAATAAAAATTAAAAAATAAGATAAAAGATGATACATAATTAAAATTTATACTTATATATATTAATAAAAAATTACATATAAAAATAATTTATTATATATATTTTAATAAAAAATAAAAAATAAAAATAGATTATAAAAGATAATTTTAGACTTATATAGTTATAGAATTTATCTTTAAATTTTTATGAAAAAAATACTCATGTCTTTTGATTTTTGAAAAAATTTAAGAATTTTAAAACTAAATATATATATATTTATATATTTATTAATATTTTAAATAATTTTAATTAAATTTAATTAAATTTAATTTTAAAAATCATTCAAAATATTTATTTGAATTTTTATAGAATCAAATTTAATAAAAATTGATGAATCTTTTATAATAAACTTAAAAGAAAATTTATTGTTATTATTACTTATATTATTTAAATAAGTAGAATTAAGTTAAAGTCTAAATATAGATTAGAAAAAAAAAATCTTTTAAAAAAATATTAATGAAGTTTTTTAGATATAGATTCAATAAATAAGTGTATCATGTGGTTCTAGAAGCTTTTCTCAAAAATTTGATATTTCTAATGAACCACAATAGTAGCATTATATAATATTGATATTTGACCATTCATCTTGTAGACTTTTAGAACCTTCTATATAATCTTTTTGTGAATTAGTATACATAGAAGTAAGATTGAAATCATTCTTAGATTCATCAATGCTATTCTTTTACTTCAATTTTGATTTAAGATTCTTTAATTACTTTATACTTGGCTATAGTTATTTTGATACCTTTCTATTTTATGGATATATTTGATACCTTTCTATTTTATGGATGTATTTGATTAAAACAAATTCTAGCATTAGATAATAAAAAATTATTTTTTTGATACATATATTAATTGAATTCTAATATTGAAAAATATAAAAAATAATATTAATTAATTAATCCATATATATATATTATTTTTAATTTTATATTAT